CCCAAGTAGTTATTTCAGCAGGATAAAATACAAGAATATGATTCTCTGCAAAGATCTTTAGAATATAATGGCTTCATACTCTTGGAACCCAGAAAAGTTTTATGTATTTATGTATGTATTATATATGATCATCTTTATTGTTTAATATAAATGAAATTCTTATATACTTTTAAAATAGAAGTGATTATATTATATAATTACTACCTGTATAGACATGTGGGTTTTTTCCCAAGCTTCTTCATCAGTATGAAAATTGAAAACAATAATACATATTTTTGTCTCAAAATAATCAGTAGTTATTGTACATGGCTTCCATTACAATATGCCACAGACTGTTTAAACAAGTGAAACATATCTTCGATTTCCCATGGATATGTGAGATCAAATGATCATTAAAGTTTGATTAGCTCCTGGTAGTCTGATGGCCATTTCTGGAGTCCCTTAGCTTCTGCTGGATCCCTCCAACCTTTGTATTTTACTTGTTGTCCATTAGTGTGTATGCCTGGCTCCAAATTTCTCTTTTCTCTTTTTTTCTTTTTTTGTAATAAAGACAGAAGTCATATAGGTTTAAGGTCCATTCTGATGAACTAACTGCATTCTAACTGCCTCTGTAAAGACCTGATCTCCAAATTTGATCACATTCTGAGGTACTGAATGCTACAACCTCAATATATGAATTTTGGAGAGAAAGATAATCAGCCATATTGATTTGACACAGCTGTAGTCTTTATTTCATTAGAAGATATCACATAACTATATAGCTCATTGATAAAAATAAACAGAACAATTTTTTCATTTCAAAGTTAATTTTCAACATGATGAATTTTTGCCAATGCACTTAAAGCATATGACAAATCAATATTACATAATGTAAAGCATATAACTGTTAATAAATTTATTTTTTTTCTAAATTGAAACCTATGTCACACTCACATATTAAAATATATTTTCAACTTACTTTAAAAAAAATAAAACAACCAAAGTTATAAACTTACTAGGAAAACATGTTAAAACATGTTTAAAGAAATTTAAATACTATGAAAGCATCAATCAAACACTGCCTGTGGGACCAAAAACAAAATTAAGTTGGAGCTTTTGTATGCCTGACAATCCAGGTAAATTTCACTCTCTCAATTTTGGTGTTAGTAAAATAAGAAAACCAGTGTCTTTGCTCTTTCTCGGTGCTATAATCACATATATTTATCTGAATCTTTCCACCCTCTCTGCAGTCAGCAAGTCTGAAAGGGATTTATACTTCATTATAACAGATGATTTAATAGGCATCCCATATTATTTATTACCCCATATTATTACCATACAATTGAAATTATATTGCTTTTGATATCTTGATTTCTGAAATGGTCTGTTTGCCACATTTTAAATAGCCATATAGAAAATTTAGAAGGATCAACAAATAATTTAACACATATCAACTGTTTTTAGGTAAATTAAGTTTTAAAAAATAATGTATCAAATTAAAAGTGATTTAAATTCAGGAATATACAGACATACAAATTATGCTTATGCACACATGACATAATACACTTATATATTACTAAATACTAGAATTATATTTAATATGGTTTGAGTTTTGTTGACTACTTCCACAGATAGTAGGAATATTTACTGCTTTTTAGTGGGCTATGTTTTAAATGGAAACTCATCAAAAATCACTACTTTAAGATAAGCCCTGTGCCCTGTAAGAAATCAACTTCAATTTTCTAGTAATTATTTTACTAAATGTGCTTTTAGCACTGTATTTAGAATAGCCACAAATTTACATATTTTATGTTAAGTATGTACAAACAGAACCTCCAGCTTATTATCAAATTAGTTCAGGCATGTAAATAGTATATTTTACGTAATTAATTATAATTATAGTAAATACAAAGTTCAGCATGTCTGTATGTGAATAAATATACTGACAAAAATAACTGTCTCAATATGGCCACCTTCTCATTTCCACAGCAGAATTCCTCTAGCTCAGTACCATTAACATTCTGTGCTGAATAGTCCTCTGTACGTCAGAGGTCAGATGAAAGACGTTAAACAACACTCAAGAAGAGCCTGGAGGGTGTGTGAATACTTTGCCCTGGCAAGAGTCAATCATATTTGAGAAACCTAAGTGCTTAGAGAGCAGACAATAAAAGTTGACATTACTCTTCTGAAGTCTGGAAACCTTGAGAATATTAAGGTTACATACATAATCACTTCCAAGTGAAATTGTCATACATGGTGAACCATTTCAAATTAAAAATGATGTCAAGGTACGAAAGCAGAATTTCAGTCTATTTACCTATTCCCAGACAACTTAATTTCTCTGTATTGATTGCAATCCTACTTCCTAGTACTCCAACCTAACTTCAGGTAAATGCTACTATGAATTATTTTTATAATAGTTTAATCAATGTTTAAAAGATGAAGTTTAAATCTATAAAGGTAGGATTTTTAACTCTTTTTCCAGAACTGGACATTTTAAGTTTGCTTTTAAATGCCCTGTCTTTTTTTTTTTTCTTCAATATTTAGAGTGCTTCAGGCCTTTAAAGTACTTTGTGGGGAGGAGAAAATAGATATGAAGTACACAGAAAAAACGGATAGCATACAGTACAACAAAAATAAATTATTTCATTCAACCTATTGAAGATGTTTTGTAAGACCCATGAAATAAAGGGGAAAAATAGTATAGAGTCAAGTGTGTTTTCTTTACTATTACATGATCCCAGCTCTAATTATGAAAGGGTACTATTCTCAAGTTTTCAGGATGCTCTTCGCATTCCCATGATAATATATCTATCTGTTTGTTCTCGGTTTGAAAAGTCTAACATCATACAACCCCACCATGAATCTCCACAAACAGCAACAATTCCATAATTCAATCTGTGGCTGAAGAATTTTGATCCTCCTTGTATTTCAGAGAATTTTATGGTTTCTAGAAAGCAGGCCACACTTAATTTTTTTTCTTTAGAAGTAACAATAGGCTTTTTGTGATA